TTAAAGCATAAGTTGCGGGGCGCCTGGGTGGCTTAGTTGGTTAAGCAACTGCCTTCGGCTCAGGTCATGATCCCTGGGTCCTGGGATCAAGTCCCGCAATGGGCTCCCCCTGCTCTGCTGGGAGTCTGCATCTCCCTCTGCCTCTGCGTGCCACTCCTCCTGCTTGTGCGCTCTCTGTCTCTCTCTTTCTCTCTCTCTGTGTCAAATAAGTAAATCTTTAAAAAAAAATCGTAAGTTGCAAATTCAAATGCCTGCAGAGACCAGGTATACAATAGTGAAGTGTGCTCAGTGGAAGATTATAGGGAGTGCTGGGGTCTATGGTGAGATGGAAGGTACATATACTTTTCAAAGCAAAACTTAAAAAAAAAAAAAAAAGAAAAACCTGAATGAAAAACCTGGCTACCAGTTTGTGGTGCCTAGTCTAAAACAGAGGTGAAAAAAGTTACAACTAAATAGGAAGAGGCTTATTAATTTTACTGAAATAACTGTAAATAAAATTATACTTCATTTATGTTATTTAACAATCATATACTACATTTTCTAGGTTATTTATTTATTTTTAGAGCATGCGTGCCTGTGTGCGAGCAGGGGTGAGGTATAGGGAGAAGGAGAGAGAGAATAATCTTAAGCAGGCTCCACACCCATCCACACCCATCCACACCCTATGCGGGGCTCAGTCTCACAACTGAGATCATGACCTGAGCCGAAATCAAGAGTCAGAGGCCTAACTGGCTAAGCTACCCAGGCGCCCCGAAATTGTTGATGATGTTGTGTGATCATTTTGGGAAGGTGGTGTCTGTCAGACTTCTCCAGTAAAGACACAGTTCCCTTTGTGAGTAATTTGTGCAATGATGCTTTGAGACTTCAGGAATATTCTTTTTCCCATCAAGCACTCACCTGAAAGTTAACATCCAATGATCTTTACTGAGTCAATTATTATATTGGTAGTAACAAAATAGTGATTTTCTGGTTTGATCATTTCTTCATTAGTTGGCATTCTTTTATGAATATGAGCTTTTCCTCCCAGCCCTAGCCTCAGCCCCTTTCTCGAGTTCTGTATGAACTCATGGATTATTTTGTATTCAAAGTGTGTTGTATTCCATTATTATCATTATTCATATTGATGCCCAAATTGTTCCCAATTTTGCTGGACCATTGAGCTGCTGGATGTGAGATATATTTTCATTATTTCTCAATCAAGGTGTGACTATTTTGGGGAGTGATCTTATCTGTGCCCCACTACCCCTAGCTTACCCCTAGCTTCTCACTCCCTCTCTTTTTCCCTCCCAGTTGTCACTTGACTTTCTGTTCCAGCATAGTAACATTTGGTTGCATTTGGTGTTTCTTTCCCCTCTTACATGTAAACTTTGTGGTCATCTCTGCTTCCTATTGTGCTTTAGATGTGAATATAGGTGGCTTTATTTGTTCTATTTGTTGATCTCTGATTTTTTGTATGGTGTGATTAGTATTTAGGTGGCTAGAGTTATTTGATAGGAAATTGGAATTCCTCTATTTTTAACTATTTTTATGGCTTTCTAAAGATGTGAAATGTCTGACTTTCAAATAAAGTTTTCATTTAAACAGGGTAATCAATAAACTCGGGTAAGTATTTAGTACCTTTTGAAGTATGTTATGCCATTTGTTCCTAGTCTCAATAGCTTCTAGCCAGTGCTATCTTTTTGAGTCTTTGGGTTTCTTTGCTTTTCTATAGCTTTTGTCTTTCCACTTGCAGACCAACATCAGTCATTTTCCCCCATTGCCAATGCACCGCCTACTAAGCCTTATCCACTTTATTGTCTACTGTGAGTAGACAATTGGGAATTCAGACGAGATTGGGTACATTCAGGGTGGTATGGCCATAGACTTGGGAATTCAGATAACACATCTTGTTAGACTTGGGTATGACATTAGAATAAATAGGACCAATTGAAAACCTGAAGACCTTCTGGAGCTTTCTTTAGGGCTTGATTTTCTGAGAATGTCTATTCGCTTATTAAATAGTCATTCTGCCTTATTTCCAGTTCTTTAATATGTTCTAGTTTATATTCAGTTAAGCTGATGGTAAATAATCTAAAAAATTATATTTTATGTAATGATAATGAGGGAGGAAATATAGTTTTTTTTTTTAAAGAAAGATTTTATTTATTTATTTGACACACAGAGAGAGGGTGAGATCCCAAGTAGGCAGACAGGCAGGCAGAGGCTGAGGGAGAAGCAGGCTCCCCGCTGAGCACGGATACCGATGTGGGGCTGGATCCCAGTATGCTGGGATCATGACCCGAGCCGAAGGCAGATGCTCAACCGACTGAGCCACCCAGGTGCCCCATGGAGGAAATACAGTTTTAAAAGGAAGAGTGTGCCTAGATCAGATTCCTTCTGTTCAAGTCCCAGTCCTGCTGCTTATTGGCTGTGTAACTTTAAGTAGTTGCTTAACCTCACTGTACTTGTATTTCTCACTTATAAAATAAAGATAATAGTGTCTTCTCTGCAGCTTTTGTGAAGATTAAAAAAGATAATACATGATAAATAATAAAACAGTGCCTTGGTCTTGATAAATAATTGCTATTACAGTTAATATAGTAGTAAGAATATATGGATATTTACTCTGCACAAGGAACAGTGATCTCTGTTTAATAAAGCAGGCCATCAGCTCCTTAGGGTAATCTATTTATGACCTAGCCTCCACATACCCTCTACCTTCTACCCTCCCCACACCCATCCTGAAATTAAAATAAGCCCCAATGATAATTTGTTAAAAGCTTCCTGTAGAGATGACATAAATTATTATTTTCTAACTTACTCATTATTTAGAGGTATAGTTTAAAAGGGACTATTATAGCTAAATGCCCAAATAACATTAATTTGAAAGGCTCTTTAAAAAACACTTTTTTTTGGTATGCTATAGAAATGCACAGCTTGCCATGAAATTACATTGTTATGGAATGGTATGTCCACTAGAGGTCATGTTATGCTTTCATATATATATTTTTTTCATGCTAGTGTCGGGAAAGCCTACTTCAAAGAAAGACTGAGATAGAAAAAGTCCATTATCGCTTTCTGCAAAAATATGGTTTGAAAAAGAAAGAAACCCACGCTGGACTATTACAGGAACCATCATTGCATGCCATGGTTTTATATTTGACAGTCTGCTGCAAATGGATTTGTATTGTTGAAGTTAGCAATGAGATCTTACTACCCAAGTTAGAATTAGAAGCTTCTTACTCCCTGACACAGAGTAATTTTCTTTTCTTGAAACTGTTTCTGAATGATTATATGCAGGTATAGAATCATATATGACTATTTTCCCCACATATTTATTCTTATTAATGAGTATGGATTTGGAGTGCTACCTACTCAAGGAGTGGCCTACACAAGTTACTTCAGTTCTCTAGACTTTCAGTTTCCAAATTTGTAAAATGTGAATAATAGCTATGGCAGTATTATGGTGAATCTCAACATTTAAGTGAAAGTTCTATGCAAATGATAAAATCTGCACATGGTAAATTAGGTTATCGGGTAACTGCTGGTGTTTTTGGCTCACAAGGCACACAATGGGGGAGAATATAGGAACCTCCAAATTTCTTCTCTCCTTTCTTTTTTTTTTTTAAACATATAATGTATTATTTGTTTCAGAGGTACAGGTCTGTGATTCAACAGTCATACACAATTCACAACGCTCACTATAGCACATACCCTCCCCAGTGTCTATCACCCAGCCACCCCATCCCTCCCACCCCTCTTCTCTCCTTTCTGATAATTAGTTTATATTTACTTTTCTGAACTGTTGTGGCCAACAGTGTATATACTTTAAGTGGGCTACTTTTAAGATACTTTATTTTAAAAAATGTTCTAAAAATTAACTGGAGCTGTTGCAATACACATATATGGAATTCATTCAACTGTGCCTATTTTTATATAGTCATGGTCTTACATGCAGAACTGCTCTCTGATTAAAAAAATGAGTACTGATTCCTGGTACTTTCACATTTTTGCAAATTTTGCAGAACTAATGGGTTTAATTGAATTAAGCATTGCTGTAGTCTGTTTTTACTGATAATTTTGGTCCTTAGGTGGATAATAATCAGAGTTGAAGTGATAGATACTAAGGTGATCCAGAGATGGGCCGAATAATTACGGTGTTAAGTAAAGTTTGTGCTTAACATGTTTTCATTATGTATCTGCCACAAATAACAAAGGCAATCCTAACTGTTGTGTTTATAGCCTTGCAGGGAAGGCTCAATTGGCAATTTTAGCATTTAAAGTGCAAATGATTTTTAAACTTTGGTATGCAGAAGTGCTTGTGAGGGGAAGTAGAACATTGTTGGCTCAAAACAGGAAGCAAATCTATTCATTATACATTATTATATGATATTAATATATGCATATATATTGTTTTATATATATACACACACACATATATAAATGATAATCTCTGCTGCATGTGAATATTTGGTTTTCATCACTGCCCCTCCCACCTTCCTGTTTTCTGAACTACTACTGATGGCCCTAGAGCTCCAGTGCAGGTCTGCCTGACCCTAAAACTTGTAGTCACCCCTTTATATTTACCAGACTGCTGCTCCTTAAATCCTTTTGTCATCAAAACATACTATATATTTCTTATATTTGAAAGGTTTCTTAATAAGTACACCACATACAGATTTTTTTCTCATTTTATGAATTTTATTGATAAGAATCCCTACAAAATGTCTATCTTGAATGGAAACCATCATGAAAGGTTTTGGGATATGTTAGATTCCAAGTTTGGGTCCCTGCTCTGCCATTTATTCTTCTTATGACCTTGGGCATGTCCGTTAATCTCAGAGTTGTTTAATTATCTGTTCAATGAGGACAATCATTTTAATACGCAGTTGCTGAGGGACTATTTCATATCTAACCTACTAATTTCAGAAACCTTGCTATGGGTTTTGTTGTTGTTGTTGTTACTGTTGTTTTTTATGGAGGTAGCTGTGTTTGAAATGTTTATTTTTTTTCCCCTGTAGATAACAGACAAGAGAGTGTCCAGAAGACATGCCATTCTTGAGGTGGTCGGTGGTCAGCTTCGAATCAAACCGGTATATATGTTATTCATGACTTGTTTTTAACTTTTTGCCTCTCACCTTTTTATAGCTCCTGATTAAAGTGGCTTATTTTCTAAGGTTATGGAAATAGAGAATGAATGTCAGAATATATCCTTCTTATTTCCAGAGGATAATTGGGAGATAAAGATCTAAACTTTTTAAAGTATTTATTTTCCCATAAAGCAGTGCTACATTTACCTAGTTAGAACTGTAGTGAAAGATGACTGCCAGTTCATGTATACATTATGACTGGGTATTACAAATAAGATTCTATAAGAAAGCCTGTAACTATATAATGGTTTGTTTTGGGGAGCTGAGGTAGTGACTGAAGTCACTTAAATATTACAGGGTTGTATTTTAAGAGATTTCTGTACCTCTGTGTGTAGAATTGAATATTTCTAAAATTTAAACCTTGTTCAACTTTAGGATTGCATAAATAGTTTTAATTTGAAAGTTCTTGTTGAGGGCTAAAATTTTAATTGCTTGCTTTATAGTTTGAGCATTGATGTATCATAGGGATATTAGTTTCTGAGGATGTAATGTGATTATTCCTTTCCATTTGCACAATGTGTTGTATAGGAGAATAAAACGTGTATGAGGGTCCATCTGTTTTGGACTAGATGCCGTGGCGGTAAAATTATTATGGAACGAAATTCATTAACTTGTAACATTTTTAAATCTATATGTATTTTCATCTTATACGTACACTGCCTTTGGTATCATTAGTTCTTTCTTTTACACATAAAGTACTTTTATTATCCTGTGTTGAGCTGTTTTCAAATTTGAGAAGTATCCTTTTAATTCTAGTATTGGAAAAGTTTTGAATAAAGCTGAATTTACCCCATCTCAACATTGAATAAATACTTTAAAAAAGGTTTGTATATCATTCTGCATTGTCTTCGTGTCTTGAGAAGTGCTGATATCTATAGTCAGCTCTCCTGTGAGAACCCATTTATTTACCATCAGCTGTTCATCTCTGAATCCTCTCCAACTATCCTCTTAGATGAGACTTACTAGATCATAAACTTGTTGAGTATAGGAACACTGACCCATCTTTGTATCTTTAGTATCTAGCATAATGCTGAGCACATAGTAGGTACTTAATTCATATTTGTGAATGCATGAAGAAATGCTGCAATGAGAACTATACATGACATGTCTAAAAGTGGAGATATCATGAATTTTTACAAAATTATGTTATTCCTAGCACCTAAGTTCTTTTTTTTTTTTTTTTTTAAGATTTTATTTATTTGACAGAAAGAGAGAGAGAGAGCACAAGCAGGGGGAGCGGGAGAGGAAGCAGACTCCCTGCTGAGCAAGGAGCCTGATGTGGGGCTCGATCCCAGGACCCTGGGATCCTGACCTGAACTGAAGACAGACGCCTAACCCACTGACCCACCCAGGTGCCCCCTAGCACCTAATTTCTAACACCATTTCAATGACCAACTATGGCCTAAAATAAACAAGTTTGTTTTTATTGTTACTGAAGCACATTAAGGTAGAGAATATAGGAATCTCTAAATTCCCATCCTGCCTTCTCTGATAGATCATATCATTACTTTATATTTACTTTTTTTCAAAATAGTAATTATGGCAAATAATACACATGGCTCCTCAAGTGGAATACCTACAACTTAATACTACATTATTTAGATTTACTACTCTATCATTCATGTTAACGAAATGGAGAACTTCTAATGAGTACTTACTTTTGGAAAAGTGTAACATTTAAATAGTCCTTGATGATTAGATTTCTAGTTATTTTTGATACCAAAGCAGAGAATATCAGCCCTGCAAGTAGGTTTATAGACTTTTCTAGATTTGCATTATTAGTATCCAAATCCTACTATGTATACATATATCATAGAAAATAAATCAATAAGCCAAGAGTATTCTTTATGCAACTTATAAAGACAGGTCCTTGGTCAATACCTATAATTCTTGATGTTTTTGAAGCTTTGTTTTTGTTTCAAATAACATCTGAAAAATTTGTAGTAGCAGAAGAGTTGTAGACAATGACATGATCCATTTTGAGAACTCAGCACATTTATTTGTAAGCAAATTAATCAACTGAATTGTGAAAAATTGAATATTAGATTTTCTTTTTCCATTCTTATTTACTCAGTGCTAAGAAGAAACCCTTCTTATAACAAAAGTTACACGGCATTAAATTTTTTATGTATCAAAAGTAGGCCATTTGGGAAACCATCAGTTTAACTAATGCTTGAATATTGAAAAACTTACTTATATTTATATTTTAAAAACTAGAATGTTTTCCAAATTGGCTTAATAAAGATGCTTAACTAGAGTTGTGTCTATACTTGGATGAAAAGTATTCAGATATATTTTGAACATCTATGATTATTCAAAAAAGTAGTAATAACATAAAATAAGTATACTTATATTAAAATTTTGTTAATGAAAAATTCTCTCTTTGAGTTAAACTTTATTTTTTTGTGAAGTGGGTCAAATTTCTGCACAGGAGTTTAGTAATTTTTTAATTAAAAGAAGATATCTTTTCGAAAACATCCTTCTCCTTTACTTGGTCTTTAATTAGACTGTACTCATATAAAACAACTATATGAAGTTAACAAGTGTCTTTTGAGTATTAAACTGTGGTAGATACAAAATTAGAAGCTAGAGCAAAAATTCCTCATGAGATTATAAATATGAAACTAAAATTTGGTATAATATTATTTATGCATACCTTTGTTTATACTTATCTTTTAAATATTATTTAATATAATTTATGAACTTTCTAGTAAATGTAACCTTATATACTTGGGAGAAAGATAAGTATTTTTTACCCTTTTCTTGGTAGCATTAGTTTTGACAATGTAGAATATCAAGGCTCTCTGGAGAATGCATAATTTTACATAGTCAGCAAGTTGTCAAATGGGAATTAGAACTCAGGTCCTTTGAAATCTGTGCAGCATTTTTTTTTTTTCATTATATTTCCCAAGTCAGGATTCTTTTGCCATTTGCTATTCTCTTCTTTAAAAAAAAAATTCTTGAAGTTGAAAGTAACTTGATTTTTCTTCACAAGAAGTTTTGGTGCCTTCAGTTGGATAGAATTTTACAACTGAAAGCACTCTTAGATTCAGTCTTATATATGTGGGAATTTGATTTGGGCCAGACCTGGCATTGCTTATCGGTGAACAAGAGGACTTTTCATCAATAAATGGTACTGGGAGAGTTTGTTATTTGCTTGTGGGAAAAAAATTAGATCCCTACCTCAAACCATACATACAAATCAGCTTTAGGTGGTTTAAATGTGAAAGTTAAAACTATAAAACTGTTAGATTATATAGGGAAAAAAAACCTTTGTGACCTTAGGGTAGAGAAGAGTTTTTTTTTTTTTAAAGGTTTATTTATTTATTTGAGAGAGCGAGAATGAGAGAGAGAGAGTACATGAGAGGGGGGAGGGTTAGAGGGAGAAGCAGGCTCCTCGCCGAGCAGGGAGCCCGATGAGGGACTCGATCCCGGGACTCCAGGATCATGACCTGAGCCGAAGGCAGTCACTTAACCAACTGAGCCACCCAGGCACCCTAGAGAAGAGTTTTAAAATAAGCTTTAAAAAGAAAGACTGAAAAAAATCTAATTACAGGGGCACCTGGGTGGCTCAGTCAGTTAAGCGTCTGCCTTCAGCTCAGATCATGGTCCCAGGGTCATGGGATCGAGCCCTGCATCGGGCTCCCTGCTCAGCGGAGAGCCTGCTTCTCCCTCTCCCCCTGCCTGCTGCTCCCCCTGCTTGTGCTCTCCCTCTCTCTGTCTGTCAAATAAATAAAGTCTTAAAAAAAATCCAATTACATTAAAATTAAGAACCTTTGCTTATCAAGGATTATAATGAAAATGGAAAATGTAACAGGAAGAAGTTATTTAAAACACATATAATTGACAAAGGAATGATATCCAAAATATATAGCAAATGCCTTCAATCAATGAGAAAAAGAGAAACAATCCAGTAGAAAAATGGGCTGAAGACTTGAGTGGCACATTATAGAATTGGAAATCTGACTGTTTAGTAAGTATGACGAAGGTGCTCAGCCCTCTTATTAAGTAGAGAAATGTAATGAAACTGCAATGAGATACTAACACCCAACAGATTACAAAAATGAAAAGTCTAACAATTTCAAGTGTTGATGAGGATGTAGAACAAGTAGAATAGTTATAAAGTTTGGGTGGGAGCTTAAATGTTGCAGCCACTTTGGAAAATAGCTTGATACTATTTCCTAAAGATGAAGGCATGCATTCCCTACAAGCTAGACCTCACACACACATAATAAGTACCAATAGATGTGTACAAGAACCTGAAGAGCAAAATTGCTTATATCATAGCAGAAAACTAGACACAACATAAATTTCCATCAACAATGGAATTGATAAATATATTGTGATATATTCATTTAATGAAATATCCTACAACAGTGAAGACAAATTATAGTGAAAGCATGAAAAAAATGGATTAGAGTCAGGAACATGATAATGATAAAAGCAACCTTGGAAGAATATATACAGTATAGCTTCATTTACATAAGATTAAAAATTCTACAAAATAAATATTCACTGTCATAAACTTAGGTGATAAAACCATAAAGAAAATTTCCTAAGGAAGTGATAAACATAACAATTGGTATAATAATTACCTCTGAGGGAACTGAGAAGAGACAGGGATAAGGAAAGACTCAAAAGGGACATCAGAAGTTAATATACTTTTTCTGAAACTGTATGATGGGTCCACACTTAATATCTAACCTGTATTAGGTTTTCTTTTTTTTTTTTTAAGATTTTATTTATTTGACAGAGAGATTGAAAGTGAGCACAAGCAGGCAGAGCTGCAGGCAGAGGGAGAGGGAGAAGCAGACTCCCTGCTGGGCAGAGAGCCTGATGTGGGGCTCAATCCCAGGACCCTGAGATCATGACCTGAGCTGAAGGCAGACGCTTAACTGACTAAGCCATCCAGATGCCCTGTATTATGTTTTCAAAAAATTATTATGGAATCCTTATGACATGAAAAAGGTGTAGAGAATAGTACAGTGTGGTGCAGTTCCTTCCGTAACGCCAAACTACCAAACACTGGAAGACATGAAAAAGTGTATTTATTTTTAAGGAAATGTACAATTCTAGTACTAGAATTTGATTGTTCTTTTAGAACAATATTTAATTGGGTTTTGAATTTTATTCCATGAATTATTTACACCATGCCAGTTGAAGAAAAACTGCTTCTTGGACTTGGTGATGTATGCATAGGTCCTTTGCTTTATGTAATGCTTGATTTCTTGTTTATGTTAATGTAGTTTCAACAAAACGCCTATCTCCTTGAAATAGATATATTTATTTATTCAGCTGTTTATTGTAGCTGTACCTTCAAGGTGCGATTTAGAGAAATTTAGAAAAATTCTAAACTGACCTTAATTGTGAATAGAAATGTTAAGGTCTTGAAAATAATGAGATAGACCAGCAACTTCTAATTCATTCATTTTACCTTTATGTGTGCTAAATATCATTTACTTTCTGTTCTCTAATAAGTCACAAATAAATTGATCTGCTAAAGCAGGCTATGTATACAACTGTGATAAAATTTTGAGAGAAGTTTTATTTTGAAAAGTTTTTGTAAAATTATTTAAATGAACTAGAGCAAATGTTTTGTTACAATCCTTCTGTAGGCTGTGTACTCCAAATTGTGTTTAAGTGATTAAATATTTTTCTGCTTTCCTTCAAATTAGAAATCCAATCAAATAGAAATGTAGCTTTGACAATGATAGATGAATGCGATTAGGGCATTTACTAATTTATACTTTTAAATTGGATGAATTTGTCTTTTTTTTCTCTAATACTTCCTTTTAAAAAAGACTCTAGCTCTCAGCAGTTCTTGGAAATAGTGTGTGAGGAGATAATGTTAGCTCATGAGGAGATGATGTTAGCTTTTTTGTGTGTCATTTAAATTTAATCTGTCTGGTATCAGCAGGGAGAAAATATAAAAGCAAATCGACAGTGTTGTCTATAAATGATTGCATCACCAGTGGTTAGTTATGTCCTCCGGGTAAATTCATAGCTGTCAATGCTTTTATTTCATTTTAAGAAAATCTTACTCTTTTTGGTTCTTGGATGATTGAGGGAGTAGTTCTATAACTACAGATAAATTGCAAAGGCTTAGATACATTTTTTGCCACTTAGTGTTAATCCTCAAAATATACATCTTTGAGTGACTGTGTTTTTTCTTTGCCCCAATAAAATTCCCGAGTTGTGATTGTTTTTCTTCCTATGAAATTATGAGTGTACTTGGAAAATAGCTATAAAATACTACAGTAGCTCTTCCACAGCTCATTTTGTAAAAAAAAAAAAAAAAAAAAAAGAACAAGAAAGAAAGAAAAAAAGAATGCTTTACAAATTAAAAAAAAGAAAACATTGAAAATAAGAGGAACTCTCTGGGGTGGTACACATCAATCCTTTAATGTTTATGATAATTACAAGAGAAAGCTATGGAAAACTGATTTGTATTTTAGTTCCATTTCTTCAGGGATAATGCATCCTTTGCACCACGTCTAAAATTATAGCATAATATATTTAAGTTTGCACTATATCCTATGGGTATGTTAAAAAGAACTTCCCACAAATATGCTTCTCATATAGGTGGCTCTATCTTTTATTCACTCTGAGTTTGGGTTTGCAAGTATTTTGCCTGCCCTTATCTGCTTTTAGAATCAAAGTTAACTTAGCCTTATTGAAGGAATTGGAGAGCTTTCCATCTTTTTCTGGTCTCAGGAAGACTTTGAATATTCAGAAAAATTTTAAATCCATTTAGGTCTGGTTTAGGGAGAGATTAGAAAGATTTTTAATTACTGATTGTATTTTTAAAGTATAGGTCTAATTCAAAAAGACACACACACACATTTTTTTTTTTTTTATGTCAGTTTGGTGTATATTCTTTAAGATCATTGTCAATTTTGGCCATATTTACAAATACGTTGCCATGAAGTATTTGTAGTATTCTACCAAGTTTTATGTGTACTTATGTCATTGTTTTCATTCCAAAATTTGTGTTTGTGTTATCTTTTCCCTTTTTTTTTTTTTATTAATATTGCTAGATTTTTGTCTACTTTATAACTTTTTTAAAAGACTACCCTTTGTTTTGGACTTCATGTCTGTGTGGCTTTTTAGTTGAAGTGCATATAGTTGCTTTTTGTTTTTGTTTCTTTATAGAGGGAGAGGGGGCAGGGGGCAGAACAAGAGGGAGAAAGAGAATCTTAAGCAGGCTCTATGCCCAACATGGAACCTAACACGGGGCTTGATCTCATGACTCCGAGATCGTAACCTGAGCTGAAATCAAGAGTCGGATGTTTGATCGACTGAGCCACTCAGGTGCCCTGAAGTATACATAGTTTGACAGATTTTAAAAACTTATTCAATTAGTAATATTTATTTAGGTTTAAGTTATGGGATCAAATATTAGATTAGTTATAGGAATGTCATTTTTGCTCTTGGTTCTGGAATCCCCTGTATGAACAATTTTAGGAAAAGAAAAAGATGATCATGGACCATATACGTTGGTTCACTTTCTCTTTGGATTTGCTAAATACCTAATATTTCACCACTTAAAATTTAAATGTTAAGTACATTCAACTGAGTAAAAAATACTGAAAGTGAATGTTTCTTTGACTTTGGGTTTGTGATGCCTTATTAAAGGAATGTAATTAGTTTCCTTTTTTAAAAAGTATTTTACTTTTTCTACCCTTAGAATATTATGCCTTTGTATTTAACATCTTGGCCTTCGAAAATTTAGGACTATTGTTATTTAATGTTGTTTGGAGATTCATCTGAATCTTTAAAATACTTATGAATAAGAGCATGGTCTTATCTTAGCGTATTAGAAGCAAACCTCATTTATAAAATATTCAAGGTTCAGGCAGAAGCTATGGATATTTCTGTCCTGACTCTTGTCCCTTCTGCTGCTCAACTTTCCTGACTCTGATGATTGTGGTATACTCAAGGAAAAGGAGGCTTCATTTAAAAGTCCAAGGAATAACAGGGAACAATTTCCAAGCCCAGCAGTGTGCACAAGCTCAGAATCTGGTGGTTTGTCCTGGCTCGAAAACTCTAGCCATGAGCCAGAGCCACTCTGAGAGATAAATTAGGGGTGGTTGATAGCTAACGAAAGGTTTCTAAATATTAAGTTTAAATTATAACTTGATTTTTATTTTATTTTATTTTATTTTATTTTATTTTTTTTAAGATTTTATTTATTTACTTGAGACAGAGAGAATGAGATACAGAGAGCATGAGAGGGAGGAGGGTCAGAGGGAGAAGCAGGCTCCCTGCTGAGCAGGGAGCCCGATGCGGGACTCGATCCCGGGACTCCAGGATCATGACCTGAGCCGAAGGCAGTCGCTTAACCAACTGAGCCACCCAGGCGCCCTATAACTTGATTTTTAAAAATCAAACATTCACAGTTCTTTTCAGCAATATGGTGTTACATAAATATGGTATTCCATAGCATGTCCATTCTTATGAAGTCTTGTGTATAGTTTGTAATATAACTCTGACCTATAAAATAATTGCCTACCAAATTTACATAATCTCTGTTTTACATTTCTATTTCTACTCTTTATCTCCAAATTTTATTTCACTCCTTTCTTTTAACAGATTTAAAGGAAATAGAAATGTTTTCAATTGCAGATACACATAGGAAGGATTTATGGCCAGATCCTCATGAAGTTAAATTGCCAGAACTGGATAGATTATATTCATTATAGCTTTCAACCTTGTCTTTTTTTTTTTTTTTTTAATTTGGGCATGTAGGCAGCAGTGCTTATTTTTTTTTGGCGGCTTTTGTTTTAACGCTCCCTTTTCTATATTAGTCTATGTTAGAAAACTCCTAGGTGAGGAGGAGCAAAAGCAATCGAAACAAGCTATGTTGTTTGCTTGAGATATTTGATCAAAGTCTCTCTTCCTGTAATATCTCATTTTTTAATCACACTAAGAATTTACTAGGGGAAAATAAGTATAAAAGAAGCTAGCCGTTTCAGGGATTAGTGAATTATGGATATGAAAGTTGGGGGACTCAGTTTCCAAACTGAGAATTATTTTTCATGTTTCTCTTTCCAATGTCTGATTGTCCCTCTTAAGCAAAGCAGAAATATCTTTTAACCAGCTAATTGATAACTTTGCTTTTTTCTTTGATTCCTACAAAAGTGGGAGGTGTATTTTAGCTCTTTTTCCTTTTTTATGTATAGATAATTATTATTGTACTTTTAAGTGCCAGATTTATTAGACTTAAGTCTGAGTTGGAATGAAATTGTTTTGATACCCAAATTTTGGATCAGTTCGTGTTAAGTTGTATTTTTCTCATAATGTAGAATTACACCACTGTATTCTTTTTTTATTTGTTAGATACATGCAAATCCTTGTTTTTATCAGTCTTCCGAGAAGAGCCAGCTCTTACCATTGAAGAGAAATCTATGGCGCTGGTTGAATCCTGGAGACAGTTTTTCTTTGCTAGTCGACAAATACATATTCTGTGTTTTCTCTACACACTCTGAAACAGAAATGGAATGTACTTTAAGGTAAGATTGCCTGTGCTCTCTCTCTGTCAAATAAAAAAAATCTTAAAAAAAATTTTTTTTAATAAATTTTGAAAAAATGGTAATTGTAACCTAATTCCTCAGCCATCCACAAATGCTTCAGTAAAAACCATTCTAGGATTAAACTATGTTGGCAGTATAGGAGTTACATGGAGTGTGTGTGGTATATATGTTTGTTATGTTTCTCTAGGAAAAATTTGACATTAGAAACCTACACCTCAATAGTGATTGCTCGCATATGTGGTATCCTTTTACCATCGTGTTCAGAATGTATTTTCTATCTAATAGTAACCAGGATAGGTAATTTGAAACCAACTACATTTTCTTAATCTTTTCTTTTAGCTTTTTAAATTGTATTAAGGTATTATTAACCCCTCTGGCTTAGACTACACTCACATAACTCCTCTTTCTTATAAAAATAACAGAAAATATAAAATTGGGAAAATGAGGTATTACAATAAACATCTAATATGAAGTTAATACTCTAGTTTTGTTGAGGCAGTCATTAGCAGATTATTTGCCACTCTTTCAGCTTTTAAATTATAGTCTACATAAACTGGACTTATAGAAGTAGATGGACAAAAGTATACAGAATGTGTTCTGTGATTACAGTAATATTAAATTAAAAATCCGTGACAGTAGGGGTGCCTGGCTGGCTCAGTTGGTAGAGCATGCGACTCTTGATCTTGGGATTGTGAGTTCGAGTTCCATGTCGGGCATAGAGATTACTTAAAAAAATCAGTAACGATAAAATAGAAAAATCTCCAAAAATTTGAAATTAAATAGCACATTTCTAAATAACTCTTAGGTCAAAGAGAATCACAAGGGAAATTAGAAAACATTTTGAACAAAATAATACTGAAAACAACATAAAAATTTGTGAGCTGAAGCCAAAGTAGTTCTTAGAGGGAAATTTATATTAAATGCTTGTATTAGAAGAGAAGAAAGCTATAAAACCAATGATCTTTGTTTCTACTCTAAGGAGACAGGCAGACTGGAGCAAATTAATCCCAAAGCAGATAGAAAAAAGGAAATAAGAGTAAGATTAGAAATCAGTGACATAGAAAATAGACAAATAACAAAGAAAATCAACAAAGCCAAAAGTTGGTTCTTTGAAAAGATTAATTAAATATAAACCAAAATGAAAAAATACAAATTATCAATATCAGGAATGGAAGAGAGTATATTACTAGGAATTTTACAGACCTTAAAAGAATAACGAAGAAATATTATTTAAAGCTTTATGCCAGCAAACTTGACAGCCTAAATGAATGGATACATTCCTCTGAAAACATAATTTACCAAAACTAATATAGAAAGAAATAGAAAATTGGGTGAATTTTATATTAAAGAAATTGAGGTCACAATTTAAGAATTTTCCATAAGAAACTTCACTAGTGAGTTCCATTAACTTTCTTTTTTAAAGATTTTATTTATTTATTCATGAGAGACAGAGAGAGAGACAGAGGCAGAGGGAGAAGCAGGCTCCCCGCGGAGCAGGGAGCCCGATGCGGGACTCGATCCCAGGACCCTGGGATCATGACCTGAGCCGAAGGCAGACGCTTAACCGACTGAGCCACCCAGGCGTCCCCCATTAACTTTCAAGAAAGAAATAATACCAATGTTGTGTCTTTTCCCCCCCAAATAGAAGAAGAAACTTCCATAATCCTCATACCAAAAGCAGACAATAACATTACAAGAAAACTAGACCAGTATTCTCATAAAAAATACTTCTAAGTCAAATCCAGCAATTTGTAGAAAGGGTAATACACTATAACCAAGTGGAATTTGTCTGAGGAATGCAAGGTGGATTTATGAGATAAAAATCAATGCAATTTGCTATAGCAGATTGAAGAACTGTCATTTCAACAGATACGTAAAAATAGTTTTGACAAAATTCAACACCTGTTTGTGATTAAAAAAAAAACCTCTGAGAAATCTAGAAAAAGAAGGAAACTTCCTTTCTATCTAAAACAAACGTAACAGTCAAGTTTTGGAAGTTCTCTCCCTAAGATTGGGAACAAAACAAAGATGCCATTTTGTACAACTTCTATTCAACATTTATCGGAGGTCCTAGCCAGTCCAGGAAGGCAAGACAAAGAAGTAAAATGCATCAGATTGGAAAAGAAGAAGTAAAACTGTCTTTATTTGCAGATGATAGGATTGTGGATTTAGAAAATTCTCAAGTATCTACCTAAGAAGCAAGGCACAAAACAGTATTTATTGTGTGATTACGTTTATATTACGTTCTATAATAAGCAAACGAATCTGTAGTGATAGAAATCCAGTCAGTGGTTATTTCCAGGGACACAGGAAAGCTTTTTGTGGTGATGGACATATTCTGTGTCTCAGTAAGGGTGTAGGTTACATGGATGTATGCAATTGTTAAAACTGACCAAATCGTGCGCTTCAGATCTGTGTATTTCAGTAAGTATAAATCACATCTACAATTTATTAAGCTAGTAAATGAAAAGAAATTATGTGAGGAAATGGGTTTTGATTTCAGTTAAATGAAATTCAGTAACTGTAGCTTACAACTTTACATATCTTCCTCTTCTTTTTTCTCTTATCACATATGTAGAAAGAATGCTGTTTTTTTTTTTTTAAAGATTTTATTTATTTATTTGACAACGAGAGAGTGAGAGAGAGAGAGAGAGCGAGCAAGCACAAGCAGGGGGAACGGCAGGCAGGGGAGAAGCAGGCTCCCTGCTGAGCAAGGACCCTGATGCGGGGCTCGATCCCAGGACCCTGGGATCATGACCTGAGCCGAAGGCAGCCGCTTAACTGACTGAGCCACCCAGGTGCCCCGAAAGAATGCTGTTTTTAACCAGCTGTTGAAATGAGAAATATAAAGAACTAATTTTTCTGTTACAGTAAATTTCCACAGTGGAATTATATAGTTTTTTAAAAAATCAGGAAAATATTGCACATCTCTATAAAACAAAATAGTCATTGCCTCAAAATTTAGAGTATTATATGTCAACTTTATATTTTTAAAAATTTTATTTATATCCATTCAAATAAGCTTGTCCCCTTAACATGAAAGACCAATGCTGTACCTTAAATAAATGAGATTGTGGGATGACTGAATTTTGAGTGTTTTTAGTATGGATAAAAGTAAGAATACAACCCACTTCAGCAGCACTGTACTTTTTTAGGCTATTATGAGTAATATCTCTGGTGTATTGTTGCTGTGAAGCTATGTGTTGAAAGAGGTAGTAAATATTTTGCATATGTTTTGGTAAATTGTGTGCCTGGGTTAGGGTAACCAAATTAATTGTGTTATTTTATATTTAAAAAACCTGTGTGCTTTGTGGCAGTGGTGGGTCCCTGATGCCATTATAAATTTTTTCTTCCAACCAGTTGTGAATATAAGAAAGATCTGAACAACAAAACAGCAACAATAAAAACCGAGAAAACAAAAGCTTGCCATTTCTTCCACTTTTCATTTTACTGATGTCATAATGTTTTCATGTAGTAGTTAGATTCTGTATAAGAAGTCCCATTTATAACCAATTCCGTGGGACCGTATGGGTCTGTTCATATCAGCTCTCATCAGTTTGTTCATTTCTCACTCTTTTCTGTATATATTTCTGTGAAATCATTCTGTTAGAAATACCAAAACCCATACTTTTTTGAGAAGTCAAAGTAAGAGAAAACCAAATTTAAAAAAAGATTAAACACTTAGTTTTATATTTTAGTTAATTAAGTTATGGCATATTTCATTCAGAAGCACCAACATTAATTTTGCATTCTTTTACCTCCCCAGGAGTGGATGCTCATCAAGTGTTGGGTTCTTAAATACATGAATGAAATATTGTATAACACTTTGTTTTTGATCTGAATTTTGTATCTGAATTTCACTGATGAAGAAGTACAACATTGTCTCTCTAGGGAGATTATTTCCTTTAAGACACTGTTGAGAAAAGTACAGTAAATCTTATGTCATACAAAGTTTTTTTTCAAATTGTTAAAGTTCTTAATTTTTAAGTTTCATATAAAAAGCTAATTTTAATCACTTTAATTTTGAAGAAAACAATAAAATGATGAAAATGCCATTATAGTATGATAATATGCATGTTTAGAATTGATTTATGATTTTTAAAACTTATTTCTAGATCCAGTTCATTTATGTTAGTTGCATATTTTATATTAAAGATAAGAATATTTATATTTAAATTTAATTTGGAGTATATTTTTAAGATTTAAGAATAACTTAATTGCTAAGTCTTTAAAAAGAAGAAAAGAGTTTTCTACACTACCTAGGGAAGGGTCACTATGGTGTTGTTCTGCATGAGTGCCCTGTGGGATACCTAGCACCACTCACAGCCACCAGAACAAGCTTCCTGCTGGAGTGAGGGATTCCTCTCATAACTTAAAGGGAAATTTTCACAATGTCTGGAGCCCTTGATGTCCTGCAAATGAAGGAGGAGGATGTCCTCAAATTCCTTACAGCAGAAACCCACTTTGTTGGCAACAACCTTGACTTCCAAATGGAACAGTATATCTAAAAAGGAAAAGTGATGGCATCTACATCATAAATCTGAAGAGAACCTGGGAGAAGCTTCTACTGGCAGCTCGTGCCATTGTTGCCATTGAAAACCCGGTTGATGTCAGTGTCATATCATCCAGGAATACTGCCCAATGAACTGAAGTTTGCTGCTGTAACTGGAGTCACTCCTATTGCTGACTGCTTCACTCCTGAAACCTTCACTAACCAGATCCAGGCAGCTTCTGGTGATAACTGATCCAAGGGCTGATCCTCTCACAGAGGTGTCTCATGTTAACCTGCCTACCTACCACTGCTCTGTGTAAGACAGGCCCTCCTCTGCACTATGTGGACACTGCCATCCCTTGCAACAAGGGAGCTCAATAGTGGGTCTGATGTGGTAGATGCTAACGTGGGAAGATCTGTGCATACGTGGTACCATTTCCTGTGAACACCCTTGGGAGGTCATGCCTGATTTCTACTTCTACAGAGA